AGCCAAGAAATGGAAATAACCGAAGTGTCCACCAAGGGACGAATGAAAAAAGAAAATGTGCGTATACATAAACAATATTATTCAGCCATCATAAAGGGACCAGGAGGGTTGGGGGTGGAATCCTGACACCATGGATAAAACAATATATAATAAGTGAAACAGACAGAAAAACACAAATACTGTGTGGTCTCACCTAGACATGGAATCTAACAACACCAAACTCATAGAAACAGAGACCAGGAGAACAGATTAGTACTTGCCACAGGGAGGGAGTGGGGCAGAGGTTATAGGGGATGGGTGAAGGTGGTCAACGGATACAAACTTCCATCTACAAGATGAAAAAGTTTTGGGGATATTATGTACGGCATGGTGACTACAGTTAGCGATACTGCACTGCATGTTTGAAAGTTGTTGAAAGAGCAGACTTTAAAAGTTCTCACCACACACACACACACACACACACACACACACACACACACACACACTAGTACCTATATGTGGTAATGGACAAGTTAACTAATCTTACTGTGGTAATCGTTCTGCAATGTATACATATACAAAATCACTATATTGTACATCCTGAACAATATTATATATCGATTATATCTCAATAAAGCTGGGGGAGGGGAATTAGAAAATAGTGGAAAGAAATTAATATGCCACCCACAGCAAACTTTAAAAATCAATATCTTATGCTAAAGAAGCCCGTAAGAGAAATCTGGCTGCACACAGCTGTGTAATAAATCAATTTGTTACCGTGACAGCCATCTCAAAAATAGAGTAATGGTTGATAGACAACAAAGAAGTTAGATTAGACATGGGGACAATATATAATAGAGCCCCACGAGCTTTTTGGTTTTGGTTTTTATTTTACAACAAGTCTGTTAAATCATTCATTGGCAAATAAATGATTCAAGATAGACTTCCATGAGCATTATTTTAATCCTGACATCATTAATCAGTTAATAAATTTTTGAAAGGTTTTCAGAATTTTATTTATTCAACAAATATTTGGTACACATAGTGGTATGCTATGTGTAAACCACTGTCATAGGTGCCAAGAATTCAATGATAGGCAAAAAAAAACAGATCTTTTTCCTCTATGGAGGGAGACAGATACTAATCCCAAAATAACAGAAATAAACAGAAAATTATCAGTTGTAAGCTCTAGAAGAAAAGATACTTAATGCTGTGACAGTGTTTATTAAGAAAATCTGGGGGCGCCTGGGTGGCTCAGTCGGTTAAGCGTCCGACTTCGGCTCAGGTCACGATCTCGCGGTCCGTGAGTTCGAGCCCCGCGTCAGGCTCTGGGCTGATGGCTCAGAGCCTGGAGCCTGCTTCCGATTCTGTGTCTTCCTCTCTCTCTGCCCCTCCCCCGTTCATGCTCTGTCTCTCTCTGTCCCAAAAATAAATAAACGTTGAAAAAAAAATTAAAAAAAAAAAAAAAAAATCTGTGTAACCCGGGAGAGGAAAGGCAGTGACACTGAAATGGGAACACTGAAAAAAGAATAGGAAAGAAGGAAATCTGTCTGTATGCAGGTATGGGGGAGACTCACTAGCCTGAGGCAAAAGCAAGTGCAAAGGGCCAGAGGCAGGAAGTAACATGGGCAATGAGTACATTCAAGTCTATCCTGCTGAGCTCCTAAGGACAAAATAAAAATAACTCCAGAGATGAACAGCAGGGGCATAAAAGAGCTCGTTGTGACCATGCATAAAATTAAATTTTAGCTAGTGACAAATTCTAAATCATACCCGTTTTCTCAAAAAAATCTCATTCTTCTCAGACCAGATAATCTAAATATAGATAGACCTGTCCCCCTAGGACAAGGAAGTACAGTTAGAGGCTAGGTTTGTTTTTTGGTTTTTTTTTTTTTTTAATCCTCACTGTGGGGCTTGTTCTTATAGTGGGAACTATCTATATTTTACACTTAATCTGAGTATTAAAACCAATTCACAAAAACAGAAAGCAAAAACACAAAAATTAATGTGTTTTATGTCCTAAAGAAACAAACAAGCATAAAAGATCTAACCTTCAAAACAGAATAATACACTGAAGAAATCCCTTATGACGTCCTATGGAGTTCCTACCTAAACATTTAAGATGCAACTAAGCATACAGAATCTCTGTGACTGGGTGAGAATGGTTTTTCATCACTAACAAAAGATGGCACTATAGTGCTCTGCGCCAAGAAAGAAAAAGACAAGAAGACAAAAGAAAGGAGAAAAATCAAGTCCCATCTGGGAATCTAAACACAGCGCCACGCTTGTGATTCTTCAGTGCAGGTAAACATAAAAATAGGCAGTGTTTAACAACGCTCCAGTTAGAAAGAAGCTATTTGGAGACAGCAACCAAGCCCTTCAACTTCAAAAGCCTCTCCTAAAAAGGAAGGGGGGAGGGGGGTGGAGAACACCGAAGGTCAAGGTTAGTCTCCTCACCAAAGAGCCAAACATCCACCGGACCCGGCAATGTGCCAGGCACGACACCGTCACCCTCCCAAGTACGAGGGGCACCTCACGCAAAGTGGTTACGCTCTGAGTGTCACAGAAAACTTTCAAATCCTTTGGGTTTTCATAGATTCTTTATAACATATTTAGCTTCCCGAGAAAGCATACCTTTTTCATATTTCACAACGGTCCTCAGATTCACTGAACAATGCCTGCCTCCATAAATACTCTCAGCTCAATTCCAAAACACTTTAAGAACTCACTGTTTTGTAAATAAGCCGCGAGCAACTTTCTTTCACATACTCTTCCAAACATCAAGTAGGAAGGATTTCTATTATCCCGCAGAAGGTGCAGAATGAAAGTGCAGTGGCTCTCGAACTACTTTTCTTAACACTGGTTTCTCTTAGGGAGATAATCAGCAGAAAGAGGGTACCACAATCCCATAAATGGGAAAAACAGCAGGTTTTGTGGGTGGTTTTTTAAACGTTACAGAAGTTTCCTCAACTGCAGGACTTCTCAGGGTCATTCACCATGAATCTCTTAGGACAGGGATAGGATGTGCACGCGTTTCCCACGTGTACCGGACAACAAATACTCGCGGGAAGCACCGCCACTGACACAGGAGTAACGTTCCATCGAGAAAGACGGCCATTCGGCACCGCAAGAGGCAGTTGGCCTTTTGACCATGACCCAAACGATCACATCACCGCATTGAATTGTTATGTATCATGAGAAAAGAACAGTAAGGTATTTCCTTATTTCTTTTAATGTTTATTTATTTATTTTGAGAGAGAGTGTGTGTGCATGCACGCAAGCAGGGGAGGGGCAGAGAGAGAGAGAGAGAGAGAGAGAGAGAGAGAGAGAGAGAGAGAGAGAACCCCAAGCAGGCTCCGCGCTGTCAGTGCAGAGCCCGACGTGGGGCTCAAACTCACAAACCGTGAGATCAAGATCATGACTTGAGCCAAAACCAAGAGTCAAGACACTTAACCAACCGAGCCCCAGATCTTTCCCTATTTTTAAGTTACGATACTATAATCCGTACCTAAAGAAGTTAACACATTCTATTCCTTTCTCATGATTTAGAACCGAACAGGCCCACAACAAGTTATCTATGGTAACTCTATAATGAGATATTCTTCAGTGGCTCAGAAATTTTTACTGTGCAATACCTAAGTCTGTAAAATCACAGACACAGACAGCAGTATAACCGACACGTGACTCGATCGGGACTCTATCTCCGCAGCAGAACCCTGACTTCTCTGAAACCTAACGCTGATCACTTTTACATCACATAAATATCTTCTCAGTCACTCATCAACCAATAAATTGTAGCTGTGACTACAAGTGTAGCTGTGTAAGTTCTAATCTTGATTATCTTTGGAAATTCAAAACAAACTCCTACACAAGGAAAAATTCCAGTACTTCATGCAAAGTTCAGCAAAGTGACGGCACTCCTCAGTAAAACAACGGCATCAGGTTAACGACATAACATCATTTCTTCAATCTCCCTTTCCTGGAAAAACAGCAAACCGGAGTCTTTTGGGGGGGGGGGGGGGGAGTGAGAGACAGACAGAACCTCAAGCAGGCTCCACACTCAGCCCAGAGCCCGACATGGGGCTCAATCCCACGACCCTGGGATCATAACCTGAGCCAAAATCAAACACTGGACACTCAACCGACTGAGCCACCCAGGCACCCTAACCCTAAACCCTCCAACCAGGAGGCTTTTAATTCTTAATTCCATCTCCTATGAAATTCATGTCACTGCTCAGCATTGTAATTCAAACAAAATGATTGTAGCTAGCGTTACGGACTTCTGTAAGAAAAGTACCTGAACACAAACACCACATTACGTGAAAAAGGAAAGTTTTGCTGGCGTCCGCAGGTTCTCATGCACTGGTTTCCCTGCATCTCATCTGAAAGCTGGGTCCGTCTCTCTCTGAACAATACCTTGAACCTCAACATACTGAGTAAACTATAGGAAATTATCTGGAAAACAAAGCAAGTTAGTTGTCTTCATCTATTATTATTGGTCAGAGATCCTGAAGCTCAGTGCCTTGGAAAAGGAGGTTATCAGGAGAAATTTACTTTGGTTTAAAGGTCTTTCCAAATATTTCCTGAGCTTCTGCTCACTCCCGTGGCCAATATGAAACACCCTGCTTCTAAGAATCTTAAAGTTTACTTGCCCCACCAGGTATTCTATTCTGCAGGGTCACCACTGCCCTGTGTTTGAAGATAAAAAGCAAGGAGGAAATGAAAAGATGAAATGTACTGAGTAGACGGTGAAGGGAGAGAAGCAGCAGGAGGGGACCCAAGGAAAGAACTGACGTGCACAGCGAGCACAGAAGACCAAGTTGAGGCCGACACAAGCAAGAAGCCAGCGGACCCAACTGCCCAAAAGTGGGTCAGTGTGTTTCCTACCTTGATGTCTCCTACCCCAAACTACCATCTCCTTTTCTGGGTCCCCTGCCGTCCCTACCACGTAAAGTGGCACGTGAATGCTGATGTCCTTCTCCAGCACAAACACTGTGAAGGCCAAATGCAACGCTGCTTACCTCCTGGTCTGTAGACAACATCATCCTCGGTGATGTAGGATGTTATCTCGCCGGTATCTGTCCTTTCGTAGCGAGATTTTTTTTTCGGTGGTTTCTTTTTGTTCTTCTTGGTGGACTCCTCCGTGGTGGCACTATTGTTGTCATTATCCTCATCTTCACTGTGATCGCTCTCGGCATAATTTTTGGCTCCTCCTTCCAAGGTACAGCTCCTGCGTGGCCTTGAATTCTCACTCTCTCTTGCTTTGTCTCGTTTATCTCTCTCTCGGTCCCGATCTCGGTCCCGGTCCTTCTCTTTGTCTTTGTCTTTGTCTTTGTCAGCTGTCATGATTCGCCACGTGCCTTCTTCTGTCCTCTCACGGCTAGGCCTCCGTGAAAGGTAGACAGTAAGCCTGGGCTTCAGTCTTCTGAATTTCTCACTCAATTCCAGGGAAAATCCAACCACTCCAACTACCCCAATGCTTCAAAAACGCTAGGCAAGAAAAGAGAGAAAGAAAAGGATTTTACTTTAACATTTTCTCATATGTTTGGTGTTTTGTTAAATTAATCTCTTACTTGCGTTTTAGCCCTAAAAACTTCTCATGGGCCACAGGAAAAAAGGTAGGACAAATGACACAAAGTTTAATTATATGCAGTTTTGGTCTCAGCTAGCATATGGTTTGGGATTTACTACCGCACCAAAAATGAAAACGTCTGAATGCATACTAGTAAACCACACTTTCTGTACACCAACTGTTTTCTTCTTTTTAAGGAAAAAGTGAAATGTACCCTAGTAGAAAACATACAATGGGTACAATTATCCAAAAGGAGCTTCATAACCCACAATATTAATTTGAAAGGGCAAGAACCTATATACTAAAATTATTTCCACCTGGAAAACCAATAATCTGGACAGACTCAAAACATGTCTCAAGATGTCTCTCACAGGGTACTATCTTCGGAAAACTTTCTAGCCACACTCCAAATTTCCAGAGCTCCTCTCAAGAATAAACCAAGTGTGGACGCAAACAAAAGTGATGACCGCAAAACAAGATTCTTTTGCCTTCAATGTACCTTTTCCCATCTTCGAAGTCTACTATTCTATTTATTTTCCATGAAAAATGGTACCTCTGAAGATACATTATCTCTGTCTGAACAAAACATAACAGCTTCCAAAAACAATCTTCCATCTTTAGGGAATATTAGGTAGTTTTTACATTCTTCCAAATTTCCACTCTTAGTAATTTCCCTAATAAACTCCTCCCTAGAACTAAACCCAACAAAGAAAGCCTGACGTTCTTAAGACTTTACAATGAGAAGACAGAGTCCCAAATTCCAACCCAACACGGTTCTTAACAAAAATGTTATGGGGGGGGGGGGGAGGACAACAGATGGACACAGACTGTTTTGTTTACCAGTCAGTTTTTGGACAGTCATAATCGCCAGTAATTTATCTTTTGCAGTCCTGTATCATCTTCTTTCATTTGCTCAACAATCTGTACTTAACACTATCTATGTGCCAGGTGTTCGGAACTGAAGATACAATGACGGAAGAACTCAAGAGTCCTCGCCCTCAATGCTCTAATGCCAAAAAAGCAAACTGATCAATATGAGAACCATCTGTTTCTCGTGTTACTAGGGCCGGATAAGAAACAACATATGCAAACAAACAAAAGATCGGTCCTCTTTACTTAGACAGCAACAAACAAATCAGCTTGCAATTACATGCCTTAGACACAGAGAAAATTCTCTTCGGTCACGCCAAAACCATAAAAAGTATCATATACTCTCTCCAAAGCTCTTAGGTCAAATCTGACACCAGAGAAGACCTTTCCATAAGCACCTCAACTATCCTTAGGCATTCGAGAAAATAAAAAATGTTCACAACCACCTATGGGAGACAGACCCATGAAGGAGCAAATAAAGCTGATCATTTAAAACAGAGTCAGAAGGGGGAAAGCATGTAGCACAAACCTAGATTGCTTCCTTCTACACGGGAAATATGCTTCTAGATAGGATTTCCATTTTCTAAACATATTTTAAGAAAATGAAAAATTATCTTAGTGCCTGCAAAAGTTCTGCCCGTATGAATCATCTGCTAAACAGACAGTAATAAACTCCTAAGTCCCTGTAGGCCACTAGTGCTAGCAATTGAAAATACTCAAAGAGACATATTACTTTCTCCACTGGGCTTAAGTTAAAGCATGAACAAGCCAATCATGCAAGAAAGAAAACTATCAGCTAACGCCGTTGTTAAAACATTCCTCTTTGACACTGAAAAACATACCAAGGTCTCCCAGGAATCCGAAAGAACAAGGGCTTAGGCTGAAAACCTCGCAGATGTATTTCAGGACAGACATCTGATGAATTTAAGAAAAAGACCATTCTCTCCAGGGTTAAGAAGATAACCAGAAAATTATGTAAAAATATTATTTCAGCACTCAAAAAGGAAAAAAATAGTAAGTCCAAATTATACATCCAACACCACTCCCTACAAAATCATATACTAGCTTCTATTTACAATGAAATTTGAGTTGCTTCTGCCAAGAGTAAGCAAGAAAGAAAAATTCAAGAAAAAACAGAGAAAGCATCCACAAAATGAAATCCCGTGTGTGTATCCAACTTTCAGGTAACTAAGAACAGTGATAATCCAAAACAAAAGGCAATTACCATTTACATTTGGCTCTAAAATACAGTGCAGTGGGGATATTTTTTTCCCTCTGCATTTCCCATACTAATCATAATTTTTCTGAGCTTCATCTCACAATGACCAACATACAACAATAATGTGACATTTAAGGAAAGGGACCCAGAGAGAAGCCAGATGGCACTGAGAAGGGTAGTTGTCACTTCAATTTGCTAGAAAAGATTTACCATTACAACAACAGCGTTTTTGTGAACAACACCGGCTTCACAGCAGACTCCTGCCATGATCTCGCTCAGTTCTTTTTCTCAACTCAGTGAAGTGAACCAGACAGAAGTCACCGTCCCCACTTTACAGACTACGGAAGGGCAACTGAGAAGAGATCGTGTGCACAAAGCCATACACCCAACGATTCTTCCAAAGGGAAAGCAGTCCTACAGGTAAACCCCATCCAACCTGAACAACCTACTCCTCAGGTTACAATCTATGTTCCCAGGGTCACCAGCTCTTCATAGGTGCTAACTTTTCCCACAGGCATCCAGGCTGATAATTCACACAGACAGATTTAGGAAACCTGTCTTTGCCCTTCGCTTCCAGAAAAGAAATTCTTGTCCACTAAGAAAGACAAAAACGTTGAAAGTGTCTCTGTCAATCCACTGCTCCACCCACTTGAACAGAAAGCAGTATAACATATTGTAACAAATAACACGAGAGAAAATCTACTCTATAACATGTTCAGATTCACAACAATCTTCATTTATTCACAGAACAAATGTCTACCAAACCCCTACTGTGTACTAGTTACCGTTCTAGGTGTGAGGAGAGTAGCAAAGAACCACAAACTCCCTGCCCTCGTGGCATTTATGTTTTAGGGAGTGGGGAAAAGAATCATACCCAAAAGAGTAATATATACATATATATATATAGTACATGAAAAGATCTTACATGGGGAATCCAAAGGGGACATAGAGTATGGGTACATTGCAATTTTAAATGATGGTCAGGGAAGCCCTCAGGGTTTGCCCCGAGCAAGACATTTAGAGAAAACGCCCTAAGGACACACGAAGGGAGAGCATTCCAGCTGAGGGAAAGCAGGTGCAAATGTCCAGAGGCAAGAGTGAGCTGGGCACACTCAGGACATAGGAGGCTGCAGTGGTATGAGAAAGAGAGAAGCAGCTGGAGAGGAGATGGGGGCGAGGGGTGGGGGGGCTGGATCCTGGCCTGTAGGCCAGAGTAAGAACTTTGATGCCCTTACTCAAGTGCCATGATGTGACATGCAGTGACTCGAATGACACTTGAGCCACTGCGGGGATCTGAGCAACAGAGCAAGAAGACATGATCTGACTTCTGTTCAAGATCACTCTGGCCAGTGAGAAAAATCCTGAAGGGATGCACGTGTTGCAGCACTAAGACCGGCCAGGGAGGCGGCTGGCTACAACAGGCCAGGTAAGCGGCGAAGGCAGCTGGGGCAGACTGGCATGGTGGTGGCAGAGAGGGGACAAGTCCTGTTTTCTATGTATCTTTAAGATAAGGGTCAAACAGGATGTGCTGACAAACCGGGAGGTGAGGTGTGAGAGAAAGAAGTCAGGAATAACCCCAAGCTTTCTGGCATGAGCCACTGGGTGAATGAAGCTGACGTTACGCAAGTTCTGGAAGGAAGATCAGGAGCTCAGGTATGAACATGCAGAGTTTGAGAAGCCTATAAAAACCACATGAAGATTTTCAGAGGTCCAGGCTGGAGACAAAAACTTACTTTTTAATTTAGTTTTGAAAGCCACGAGATTGTGTGATGTCACCAAGGAAGCGAAGGTGAATAGTTTTTCTGAGAAAAATTTTTTAAGCCCACAAAAACATGTACTGCTCGTGCTGGAGTGGAGAGGATCTTCAAAACAGACTTACAACTCACATTTCCAAAGGCAACACCCCTAGGACTCGTGGCAAACACATCCTCCTCTCACTGGTTTCCACACTCATCAGGTTGTGCTTCGTCATCTCATCTCAACTGCTAAATCCGGGCAGCCGGCCTGGCTCTGTCTTCCGCTAATCAGAGTCCAAGGCCTTCAAGAGTCGGTGATACGGAAGCACTCTTTCTGACTTCAGGTGACCGCACCTTCCGTACAAACATCGCTCGCCCCTTCAAAATCAAGCCAACAACCCACCTGCAAACACCTCACTACCGATCCGAGCCGATGCAGATAAAAACCTAAAAATTCAGTCACGCTCAGGGACGAAACCGCACTTAAGAAACCCACTTCCTGATACTATCCAAGCAGGTCCCAGAAGGTCAGGCCCAGCACAGAACTGGGCTGAGAAGCCAAGACCCAAGTTCTTGGCAGTGCCATGTGCTGTCCTGCCTTGGGCAAATCGCTCTACCTCTCTGAATCCGCTTCCCTGCTGTAAAACGGGGAAGACAGCTAGCCACGCCACAAGAGCTGCTGTAAGGATTAAGTTAATTAAGCATACCATATGGAGATGCGCTCACAGATTGCAAAGCGCTCTACAAATGTAAACTCTCAACAGTAGATAATCCCCAATAGTACACTGTGCCATGCAAGACATAAATGGAGCCCAACACCATCCATACCCTCAAGAACTTATCTTCTCTTGCGGGGAAGTGGGGGGGTTCTACCGCACAATTAAGAACCAGATCGTGTAAAATTGACTACAAATAACAAAATTTCAAACAGATCCTCTCTGGGATCATGTAAAACTCACTTATCCATGAAAACTTGCCTCTCCCTCCTGACTTTTCACTCCCTGAATTCCAATCATCTCACTTACTCAAGCCAGATTCTGCAGGACACTTGACTCACCAAATGCAGCTAGTGAAGT